TCTACTTATTTGCACTTATTTCTTACTGCCTCAGAAATATGGGAATCCACAACAAATGTGGTTATGTAGGGTTTGGCCTATGTACTACAAGTTTTATGTTTCAATCTCTAGATAGTGGTGGGGGGAGGGATGAAAGCTGGGTATTTGCACTCGATGTTCACCTCTGAACACCTGCAATTGTGGCACGGTGGGACTTGATGACCCAAATGGCTTCTCAAAGCCTTTGTAACTTTAATTATTTTAAAACTGCTTTTTGCAGCACTAACCAGGAGCTAACCATACATTGTAATGTCTTTGCATAATTTACAAAGACATTACAACCTATCAGTCAGAGGATCTTCTACTGGTGGACAAACAATGACTCCTCCACTGAATTCAGTGACAGTCTAGTGAATATTTAACACAACCAAATTCTTCAGGTTTTCAAGGAATGTTATGAAGCTCTGCAAATCCTGAACATGGATATTTCTAAAATATACTGAAGAGTCTAATGAAAGATAACAAAGAAAAATATGTGCAGGTATGTTATCTGTCAATAAACACCTGCAAAACATCCAACAGCATCCACAGTTTCACTGGCAATCTTTTGAGGTCCCTAAATTGAAAAGCAGCAAAGAACTAACACTTTCAGCAAAGGATAACTCAAAATGAGAAATAGAACTTTATTATCCTGCAATTCAGAACTTTTTTTTCCTTAAGTCACAGAGTGCTCTTCACTGGAGTATATTCAGCATTTATACCTGAGACTGCAGAGGAATTTGCTTTTAGGGCTACATGCCTGTGGATTTAGCCACATCTGACTGGTTTCTTTATTCTTCTAGAATTTTGCCCATGAATGGACCAAGCTGAATGCTTGGGGTTTCTGAAAGCCTAGATAATCTGGGTGTCCCTGTGCAAACAAACTTTAGGACATGCATACACGTGCTGGCTGTGCTGGATGCACGGGCTGAGCTGGGCACACACAGATCAGATGGCACAGGGTGGCACCTGCTCGGGGTGGCTGATGCCTCCCTGATGGGTTTACTGTGCAGGGCAGGTTACCCCTGCAGCTCCTGGGTGTCTGCGTGTAAAGCACACACGCCACACCATAGGTGTGCTGAGCAGGAAAGCCCAGGCAGGAACATGAGAGCTGCAGTTTGTGACATTGAATGGGCCTAATAAATATTGTAGGGAAGGAAATGCATTCAGCTGAAAGCATAATTAAATACTGGTTTTGACTTAAAGAGCCCTACAATACCACTGTTTTTTCTAGATACTTTCCATATTAATTAATAAAGTTGCAACTAAAACCAGTAGCTCAACATTAAATACACCTTCGAAGGAGTAAGAAGAATTTTTAACAGAGGTATAACACAAACACACACCATGATGTGTCACAGCATATACCAAAGGAGCTCCCACAGTGAATGACCATTCAGTAGCTATAGAGTAACCCAGATACCATGATGCAAAATCTATCTTTTCCTCTTACCAGGAGGGAAAATCCCATGGGGAGATGTTTCATTTAATTCTACCTGCTTACCACTAGCTCTTAGTAAAGGTTCTCACTTGATCAAGAGAATACCCATCATACCATGGATTTTAGGACACTCTAGTCCTCACGTACATGTTGATTATGTTCATCCAACAGCAAGCAGTTACAAGAAGTATTCACTGGTGACTGTGTATAATGCAAACAAGTGTCTGGCTCCCTCTGCACTGTCAAGCTTCTGAGGCTGCTGACTTAGTATTTAGTTTATAATAATGTGGTTTATATTTTTTCTACTTGCATTTGGTATTTAAGTTAATGGTGCTCTTCCTCCAGAGGATTGTAGCATAAGGGAAACAATGAAATAGTTACAAACTCTACATCTATTCTGGTTTTTGTGGGTGTGAAATAAGCTATTCCATGAATATTGATGCCAAAACACCTACAAATACTGGATTCATCTCCAGTGCACTGCATTTGTGGAGGATACTCCAGCCTCCAGTGCAATTAAAAATGCAGAAGATTGCAATTGCTAGCACCCTCTGGCATCTCTGATTACTACCCTGAACAGCAAAGGTCAGCACATTACACCTGATCAGCCCAGGAGGTTAGAACCCTGCCTGGAGCCTGAAATGAAGGGAGGTTTCAAGCCAGCCTGAAAGGGATGGGGTAACATCAGGTGACCTCAGAGTACTTTGCAGAGAAAGCAATCCCATCAAACAAGAACACAAAAAGGTGTCAAGGGCCTGGGAAACAGATGTGTTCCCCAGCAAGCTGTTTGGCCTGCCCTTAGGGCTGGACTTGATCTCACAATCCTGCTAAGCCCTAATGCAGGTGGTGTGTGGGAGACACAACTTCTCTGGAGTAAGAGTAATGGACCTTGGAGCAAATGGCTACAAAGGGATTGCTTTAGGGGACAGCAATGCACCTCTCTGAATGCACACAGCACCCAGGGCCCACACACTGCCCTACGCATGTGAGGCAACACAGGTGATGATGGTGCTCCCACCACTTTGTGAGCTGTCCCCTGCCAAAGCCCTTAGCAAAGCAGCTGACCAACAGCACCCACAGAGATGGGAATACATGGGAGCTGCAAGCACACCTCTGTGCTCGTGGCACATCGTGCCCTGATGGCAAGAGAAGCCTTCAAGTGGAAAGGGAAATGTACATGGTGTAGACACTGATTGCTCTTGTGTGCTTAGTTCTATGTCTTTGTTGTGCTGAAGGGTGCATGGCACCAGATTGTAAGCGGAGAGAACAAAGATGTCAAAGGGACTGATGGGGGTGACCTGAGCAAAGTGCTGCTGCAGCAGGAAGGCAGTGATGTGCCTGGGAAGGATCTGCCTCACAGCCTGTTTGCAGACTGTTTGCCAGACACTGCACATTTTTAAATCAACAAAGAGCATAAAAGTGCAGCAGAGTATTTCACTGCTCTCTTGCAGTCACCTTTCTGCAGGTCTCCCATGACTCATCTGACTTGGCTACATAGAGATTAATTTCTAACTTTCACACTCGGTTGTCGTGTTAACTGCTGCCCTACAAAGATCACAGGAACGCCCTGGGTTTCCCTCAATTTCTGATGTGAAGAACAGTACTGCTTCCTTTGCTCTTGCAGTCAGGCCCATTTGTTAGTGATACACAGAGTTAAAAAATCGAGACCAAACTATCAGCCCTTCCTCAAATGACTATCCTGGGCAATAACCGTCCACCCAGCTCTGCATGGCTAAGCCCATGTCTGTACCCTGGAAAAAGACATAATGTTGATACTGCCACAGCTCAGGTAAAACACAGGTTGTCTTTCTTCCTGCTTCCTGTGGATTTATACAATCCACAGGAAAGGAAAAAAAGAAGATGCAATGATGAGAAGTTTTGCATACTAGGAACTGAGAGAACCACAACTTCTGCCTATCCCCTTGAGCTGCTGTAGAGGAATCAGTTTACCAGGGACCATATTCCCAGAGGGCAGTTTCAAGATAAAAGCAGGCATTGTACAAATACAATCACTCTGGAAAGATGGAGCATTAATGCTCTCCCACCCTGAAGTTTATGCGAGAGCCACAAACTGACTCATGATGCCTTCCCCCTAATGTTCTTCTTGCACCAGCGCCTCCGCCAGCCTGTGCAGAGGGGAGCAGCACAGTGGCCTGCAAAGCTGATCACTGCCTTTTCCAGGACAGCACTTATCCACCACATGGCTTGCCATGGAGAAGAAGATCACCATGTGTGACAGCCCCATGATCCTGGCAGGCTGTAGCCCACTGAGGAAACACTTCTGGCCAACCTCCCTGTGTGGAGGGGCTGAAAGGATGTCAGGGTTGCCAGTCTGTGAGCAGCAGGAGCCCAGGCTGGGACACGCGGAGGCGGGAGCCCAGGCAAGATTCCAGCAGGGGGGAAACACTAGCAAGAGAAGGGAAGAGAGAAGACTAAACAGGCAAGGGCATAAATGTGTGTGTATGGAAGAGACGAGTGTTTGGGAGGGGTCAAAGTGAAGTCACAGCAAATGCTCGGTGCCTCCTCGCTGCGTTAGCCTGGCTGCTCCCAGAGAAACCAGAGTGTGACTGCCTGTGACTGGAGCTGTGCAGGCGCAGGGAAAGGACATGCCTCCAGAAAAGGAGATAGAAATGAATCCCAATTACTGGATACTGTCTGTATCCTGTAACGAGCTAAACAGAGAGGGGGATGAGCAAGGGCAAAAGAAGCAACCTTCAAACTGCGTCTGCGCCTTTGCTAAGCGAACGTCTCCACTATTCATGTGAGTATTCACTGCTTCTTACTGAGTCATATTACCTCTCTCTTTAGAAAGCCACCAGAGTTAACATAGCGCTCACATACCACTGTGAAAATCCTGTACCTGCTATTGTAGACACAGGACCTATTATTAGCAAAGCATTATTATCTGTCATTTAGATTGTAAACTGTCTTACTGTGAGCTAGCTCATGTGGATTGCTCTGCATCAGGCCCCTAACCCTGCCACAGCTACTCTTCTGTAAATTTCCATGTGGACACACTAATTTCGAGATCAGAATCCAAGGAGGATTTAATGAAGCTCAGCAGTACTCCAGGATGTGTACAGTGCCTCCCATCAAGGAGCCAAACCTCCATCGCGACTTGCGCCTACTACAGGCGGAGAATAATTGCATTGGCAGGTCTGAGCAGGGAGAGGAGGCTGAGGCGCTGCAGAAGGAGTTTCTGTGCTGCGAGGGGTGTGAGCCAGATCCTCCTCTCGGCTCCTCTGCATACAACAGACTTGCACCACCCACCTCCCCACGTTCCTCAACCAGAGGGATCCTAAGACTGCCAGGAAGGCAGGGCTGGAGTGGGCAGGGGGCATTGCAACTGCAATCGTCAACCCCCAGCTTTGGCGAGTGACTAAGCTTGGAGCTGCTCGAGCAAGACCAAAGCCAATGACACTGCATGTGGAGAAACAGGGGCACAAAACGGGAGGATCCTCTCCTCACCCTGATGCCTGAGCAAAGGGAAGCGAGTTTAGCAAGACAGACAGCAGTTGCTACAAAGGGGAATGTTTCTTACAGTCACTGTGCACAGCATAGGGAGGCAGCAGGCTGATGGGGGAGAGATCATCTTCAGGTCCCTCTACCACTGAAGGGGACCCCTTGGGAGGCGTCTTACCGGTGGGCAGGGGCAAGGTGGAGACCGTGTTGAGCAGCACCACGCAGACAGCCACAACATCCCATAACTTCATCTTAGATCTCCTTCCAACACGGGCCCCTGGCAGAAAGGAGAGGCAGGGTTAGCTCCCAGCTGCTCTGTTCCCCAGTCCTGCCCCAGCCCTGAGACAAAGCTGAGCAGTCTCGCACCCCAGATCACACTGGGTCACCCAGGCCAGGCCTGGATGGAACAACAACTGCTCCTCGTGCAGCCAGAGGAGTGGGGTGGGCTCTCCCCAGCCAGTGAGTGGTGTGGGAGAGGGAGGCACAGGATGGCCTCCAGTCCCTTTATGCCTGAGAAAGCTGCACTGGGGAAGGCAGGCATGCAGGCCCACAAGTCTGTCTGACAGGGAGTGTGACCATGGCCCTGTGCTCACTGGCAGGCAGGTCACCTTGTGCTTGTCCAGCACCTGGGCAGCACCAGGGCACTTGTTCTCAGGCTGGCCCGGGTAGGACTGGGCTCATCTGGGGTGCTGGTCTGTGCAGACTTGATGTGCTAGAAGCAAACCTTCCTTTCCCTTTCCCTCTCTTCCCCTTCCCCTCACCTCCTTCCCTTTTTTCTCTCTCTTATTCCCTTTCTTCTTCCCCCCACCCTTCCCTTCCACTATCCAGTCCTCCCTTTGCTCTTAATTTTTTCTCTCCTTTTTCCTTTCATCTTCACTTGCCACCTTTTTTCCTTATACACCTCCTTTTCCCCATTCTGTCCTCTCTCCCTATTGTCTTCCTCTCTTCTTCCTATTTCTCTTCCCCCTTACTTCAAGATTTCCTTTTTTCCTTCCACTTTCATTTTTCCTTTCCTCTTTGTTTCCATCTCCCTTTAATTTTCCTCTTCCCATTTCCCACTCCTTGTATTCTTCTCCTCCCCTAGTCTTTCTTTCATTCTCTCTTTCTTTCTTTTTTTTTCACCGATCCTCTTTCTTTTCCCTTCTTCCCTTCCCTTCCCTTGTGTCTTTTCCTTTTCTTCTCCTCGTTCTCCAGCCGCCCTGCCCCAAGTCTGCCACGGCACGTACCCGCAGCCCTCTGCCCGCCGCCGGGGGTTGCAGCTGCTCCCGGCCCGGTTCGGCCTGCCCGGTTCGGCCGGCCCGGGGCAGTGTCGGGCCCGGGAGGCGCAGCGCAGCCGGGAGGACCCGCGGAGGTGCCGGTCCGGCCGCGGGCTTAGGGCGCGGCTGCCGCTCGGTGCGCGCTTCCCCGCCGGCCGCTGCCTTCGCACCTCGCCGCGTCCGCGGAGCTGCGGGGCGCCCCCGGGACAGCGCCCGCCCGCCCCGCCCTGCCCCGCGCACCATCCTCGCCCTCACCTCTGAGCTGGTCTCGTCGGACCCGAGATGGACATTAACGCCGCGGAGTCGACCAGCCGGCCGGACGGTTCATGTGGGCAGCTCGGGGTCCGACCGCCGGCACCCTCTTTGCTCAGAGGAGGGGGAAGGGAGACTCGTAGGGAGGAGGAGGGGGTGCGAGGTCGCGGGTCTGGATGCAGGCAGCGGGGAGCCGGCAGCGCAGTCCCGGCGGCCTCCCCCGCCGCCGCCGCAGGTGCTGTGCCCGCGGCAGGAGCGGCGCCCCGGGCTCTCTGCCCGCCCCGGCCCCGCGGCCGCGCTCAGCAGCGGCGGGAGCGGCCCGAGCCGCGGGGAGCGCCGCCTGGCAGCGGGAGCTGGCGCTGGGTGCTGCGCTTGGGACCCTGCCTGGAAATCTGAGAAAGACACTCCATCAACAACTGCGGGGAGTCAGATGAAGACATCAGCGCTCCTGTAACGCCAGCTCGTCCAGCACTGCCGGGAGCCGCGCACCGCTCGGACACGCACACCACGGCGGGAGAAAAAGCAAAAAAAAAAAAAGAAAAAAAAAAAAGAAAAAGAAAAAAAAAGAATACCAAGAAAAACCCCACCCCAGCGGAGGAAGGAAGGGGAAAACGATTAAAAAAATAAAAATCGAACCACCCCCCTCAGCCTGCTGTGAGAATCAGAGGCCGGCACTGGGATTTGTAGAGCCGGTAGCAGCAGCAGCAGCAGCAGCAGCAGCAGCAGCGAGGCTTCCTCCTCCCGAGCGGGGTCCCGTCGCGGCGAAAGCTTAGATCCAAGCGGGAGCGCGGCGGGAAGCTGGGCCGGTGTGGGAGCGCCCGCTCCGGCTGGGCCTGGGCGCGCCGGGCTCCCCGGGCGCCGGCGGGGCTGGGTGGGGGCGCGGGGCTGGGCGAGGCGCGGGGGGCACCGCACCCGCGGACGGAGCGAGCGCGGAGCCGGACGTGCGGACGCGGGGGCTTTGCCAGGGCGACTCGGCGCCGCAGATGGATTTATAGGGCCCTTTGGCAGTGACGCGCCCTCCGCTGATTCGCTTTCAGACCCAAACACACGCTGGCCCCCCGCACCGGACCCCGCGGAGCCTCCAAATATCTCCCGGCTGAAGTCACCGGCCCGACATACCGTGGGCTGCGCGGCCGCCGGCGCAGCCCCGCGGCACCCGCTGGCCCCGCGGCGGCGGCGGGGCCGGGCCGGGGTAACCCAACACCGCGTCCCTCTCCAGCGCCGCTCGCCGCGCTCGCGCGGACGGACGGACGGACTGACGGACCGACCGACGTCTGGCGGCGGCGGGGAGGCCGCCCCCCCCTCGCCCCTCGCCGGCCGCAGGTGCCGCCACAGCCGCGAGTCCCCCGCGGAAGCCGCAGTGCGGGGCGCGGGATGCGGAACCTCCGCGCAGCCCGGCCCCGGCGCGGGAGGTGGCGGTGCTGGTCGGACTCGCCGAAGGCCGCGGCAAAGTCGCTGTAAACAGTGTCGACTTTCAGCCCTGCGCCGTGTATTTATGACTCACGCAGTTGTCCGGAGGTATGAGATCCTCATGTCTCCGGTGCTGCGGAATTAGCGCGGCGGGCGGCTGGGCAGCGCAGGGTTTGTGCGGGCGGTCCGGAGACCGCTGCCTCCGCCTCGCGCGGCTTCTCTTTTAAAACAGTCTTTGCTTCTGGGTATTTAATTGTTGTGGGGGGAAGGCACTCGGGTATGGGATGGAGAAGCGAAACCCGCAGGAGAGCAGGTCGGTCCCGAGCACCGGAGCTGCGGGACGGAGGGACCCGCGCCGGGCATGGCTGGGCCGTGCCGGGCCGCCCCCAAAGCTGACACCTGGCTGCGGGTTTGTTCCGTACGCCCTCCAGCCCGGGTGTGCGGATGTGTGTGGGTACGGCCGTGCGTTCACACGTGTGCGCACCCGCTCGGCTCTCTCTCCCGGGAAGGGCAGCGGCCCCCAGGCCGTCCCTTCGGTGGCCGCCTCCTGTCCCGGACCCCGCGGGCATGGATGGCTGCCTGAAGCAGCGACGGCGGCCAGAGCGGCATCCCCGGGCGAGGGAAGGTCCGGCAGGGCGGGGAAAGGGGGAGAGGGGCGCCGAGCCCCGTCCGGACCCTGCCACCGTCAGCGGCACCGAGGGCTGCCTGTCCCGGCTCTGCCAATCGCCTGCGCCGCCTCGTCCGCTGAACGCGACTTTCCCTCTTCCCATTCCTCCGCCTAAGTCCCAGGCCCTGCAGGGAGAGGATGCAGAAGGCAAGTGAGACCAGCTCCTGGTGCATGGCCTAGGCTTTGTGCACAGCCCGTCTGCGCCGCTTGCACCCTCCTGCTCTCCTGTCCAGGGAATGGGGTGAGGACCGTGTGTGCGGGCTACAGAGCCAAGCGTGGGCACGCCAACAACACTTGTTTGCTCTCCATCAGTCTGAAATGTACATAACCCTCCAAGCTCTTAGTGGTGAAGGAGATCTCAGGCCAGGGGCTGTAGCACAGTAGAAGATGTCACAATCAACTCACTAGGTAGAATGGGAACGAGAAGCAATCCCTGTGACCTCTAGGGGACTAGTGAAGGTTTTTGAGATGTTCATTGGAAATTTGGAGGGGTCTGCTGAATGTTGTCTGGATGGGCTGCCAGGAAAAATATTTCTGAAGAAGGCATCTTCTAAATTTCCGTTGGATGACAAGGCGAAGAGATAAACACAAAATTTCTTGTGAGGACCTTTGAGCAGCATGGCTTTTCCATCACTGCAGTCATCTGCCTGCTGAGGGGAAATTTCACAACTATCTTCCACTAAATGAGGCGTTTGTGAAGAAGTGGTCAGCCTTTCTTGGGACCATGTCCCCGTATCTGCAGAAGCAACAGGTTTGTGACTCAGAAATAATGTCTGAAAGAATTAGATTTTGTTTTAACTTCAGGATATTTTTTTTTCCTAACTGTGCCACTTGAAGAAAGAGTAATTTGCATGAAAGAGATTTCTTCTTAGTATAGGAGAGTAAAATACTCCCCAAAGTGATCTGCTTTAGAAATATTAAACAGCATTATACATAAATGTAAATGTTCACTTAAAAGTAATCTTAACTTTTTTAAGTACAGACAATCTAGTGATAGGTGCGTGGAATAAAAGTTCCTGAAGTACAGCCTCTTTGCAGGCAGCAAGTGGGACAATGAGAGAACAATCTGTTGAGAAGAAACAGATTGAAAAGGGTACATGGTATCTGTACAATAAAGACACAGGCATCTGATAAATGCATCTGTTTCTCTGTTTCTCTGTGTGCACCCCAGAGGGGACGGGGGAAGGAGAAGGCGTTTCAAGAAGCAGTGCTTGGTTTGGGTCAGTGATATTGTTTCAGGTTGTGCTACCTCTGCCACAAAATTATCGATGTGCGGTTGTGAGATGGGTGCTGGATGGAAGTGCAGCATGCACCCACTGCTCTGTGCACAGGAAGCTTTTCCTGGCTCCCACCCTGAGCGGAGCAGAGGGATGGATTCAATGTGGTGCCTCCATTAAAGGTTGGGGACTTGGGCACGCTGAAATGAACGCCTTGGTTACGCCGTTTGTCGTGACGCAGAGTCCTAATATCTTAAGTGGAAGATCATTAACTGAAACTTTACTGCACATACTGGACAAAATGAGCTCAACACATTATTCTTTTGCATAGGTTTTGTCAGTGCAAAGCCACTAATTTTCTTTAAATAACAGAAGGTAATGAAGCCAAGACAGAGATTGTCCATCTATAATACTGCAGGAGTTTATTTTTCTTTGCTATTAAAAGCTGC